AGTCCTGGAAGTCTCTTTAAAGGAAGCTAAGGAGAATTCTTCCTCCTTTCTGCTACCTGGAAAGTGTCTAAGATGGTTGGCACTCTAGAAGCTATCTTGGACCATGAGGTTTCCTTGAGGATGGAAGGCACTATGTGAGAATGCTGGAACAGAAAGATACAAGGAGGCTGGCTCCCCAATTGCTATGGCGCTAACATGCTGGACTGCCTGCCTCTGGATTCCTTTGAAGTGTGAGGGAAATAGCTTTCATCATGTTTAAGTCATGATTATTTCCAATTTTCTGACATAAACAGCTGAACCCAATCTTAACAAATTCATTTAATATTATAAGCTGTTACCTTTGACTTTCCTGACTCACTGGAGGATCATTCTCTCATTCTCCTGGGGTACAGTAAGCTAAGATAAATAGCATGGACTTTGGGGCATTGAAATAGGTTTGAATCCCTGCTTTGCTGCTTGTTGCCTCTGTAAGGAATTATTCTTCTCTGTACCCGTTGTCTTTTGTGAAATGATGTGTATTAAATAAATCAATGCATATAACATACCTGGCACATAGGAGGGACCCAATAATATTAATGTCCTTGTTTTCCCCTCATCCCTATGTAGATAACTGGTTTTAAATACCACAAAGAAACTCTAGATAAATGCACATTTGGGTTTATTTCTCCAGAAGCTGACCCTGCTATCATAATCTTGGAAATACAGCAGTGTGGTTGAGGAAGGTAAAAACATCCAGTTAATGCAGCAGGAAGCACAGAAGAGAGAAAGGCAGCCAGGAGAAGAAACAGTAAATGGAGCCTCTGTGATCAGGTACAAACCTTCCACAGCTCAGAGAAGAGCTGGGTTCTCCAGCTGAATCCACACCAGTGGCCAGTTGGGACTGAAAGGGCTGGCACTTAGCTTTCCATGGAGCTGTTGTCCCCAAAATTCTAAGCAATGGAGTGACAGCATTTCCAGCCTGTGAAATAAATACAAGTTGACAGCCTGGGGGAAGATTTATGTGTGAGGTAGAAGCTTACCTGATGAGACTCAAACATCTCTGAAACTAAGTGCATTTAAAGGATCCTAAGCAGGATTCGGTGTTCCAACAGTGGGAAAATGGGGCCCATGTCATGTTTGAGAAGATAGCAAAATACATCAGGGAGAATCTTGAGCTGCTGGACAATAGGCCTGATGGCACCTACTGTTTCATGCTGCACTCCTACTGGGTATACTGTGTGAGTGAAAAGATCTTGAAGTTGGCTGCCAACATCTCTGGTGACAAGCTGATGTTGCTGGGGACCTGCTTGGGAAAGACTCACAAATTCCAGTTGCACATCACAGCTCTGGATTACCTCACACCCTATGCCAAGTACAAAGTGTGGATAAAGCTGAAGCAGAGCAGTCCTTCCGGTATGCAAACCATGTGTTAAAATCTAGATCGAAACACTGAAAATACTTCTCAGTATGGGGAGTGGTGGTGTACTCCATTGCAGACTGCCCTTTGGGTTTTAGGGTGGCAGCAAAGTCTACACAAGACTGCAGGAAAGTAGACCCCATGGCGATTGTGGTATTTCATCAAGCAGACATTGGGGAATATGTGTGACTTAAAGAAACATTAACTTAAAATGAAATCATCCCAAGGACTTATAGCTGTGTGGAAGGGCCAAGCTTTGTTTCCTGTGTCTGTGAAGACTCCACCATTATGTTGAATTTTGTCAACACTGTGATCTCTCCAGGAACTTGTAGTTTAATATTCTTCCTATTATGGAAAAAATGCAGGCTGGATTCAGAAATGGGTCAAAAATGGTGTTTTGGGTGTTTTTTACTAAATAGAATATTGTGTTTTATATTTCAATCAGAGGGCTTCTTATTTTCAGTAAAAGGTACTAATTGAGGATAAGAATAGCTTATTATTGTTATCTGTGATAACACTGCTTTCCAAACTCATGGTAAGAATACAACCGGTTTTCTTATTTATTTATTAACTGGAGGTCTAGTGCACGAATTCGTGCATGGGTGGGGTCCCTCGGGCTGGCTTGTGGAGATTGGGCCCCCACTTGTGTCCCCAGCCTCACAGCCCCAGCTCGTGCCCCCAGCCTCGGAGCCCTGCAGCCCCGCCTGGCACCCCGCCTTGGTCTGGTGCCGCCCCTTCACCTGTTCCACCATCCCGCCCACAGGACCCCCTGCCCAGCTCTCTCAGTGCCTGGGATCCGAGCAGCAGCCCCGCCCCCCCGCGGCTGCCCCTGGTCACCATCTTCAGGGCAATCGGCAGGGCGATTGGGCCCCTGTTCGCACCCGCCTTGGCCTGGAGCCACCCACTCACCTGCTCCACCATCCTGCCGTGGTCCCACTCTCATTGATGCCCATGGGGGCTGGCAGTGCCTCCACTCCTTCCCCCTGCCAGCCCCACGTGGCCAACGCCCACCATGTTCCGCACCACCCCCTGGTGGTCAGCGCACGTCATAGCGAGTGGTCGAACTCTCAGTCTCCTGGTCGAACTCCCAGTCAAATGACTGCCCGAGGGGGCAATTTGCATATTAGGCTTTTATTATATAGGATATTATGAAAGATAGATATTGCTATATGAGAATACTAGGCCATGAAATGAAAGTTGGATAAAATACTAAGAGCAATTTATTCTGCTACTTTTCCTTATAGTAAGTGTTGTGTGGTGTGGAAGAAAACCTGTCTTCTAAACCTAGTTCTAATACCTACCATCTCTGTGATGCTTTAAATCAGTGGTTCTCAACCTTCTGGCTCTTTAAATACAGTTCCTCATGTTGTGACCCCAACCATAAAATTATTTTTGTTGCTACTTCATAACTGTAATTTCGCTGTTATGAATCGTAATGTAAATATCTGATATGCAGGATGGTCTTAGGTGACCCCTGTGAAAGGGTCCTTCGACAGCCAAAGGGGTCTCGAACCACAGGTTGAGAACTGCTGCTGTAGATGAATCATTAAACTTTAATGAGCTGCATTTTCTTCTGTTTAAAAAAACAGCTTTAACCATCTATTTAAGAACAGTTTTTAGAATTAGGAATCATGATTGTAAAGTATTTAACAGTGCCTGGCAAATGACAGGTGTTGAATAAATGGTAAGACTTTTTTAAAAAGGACCCCAAGCAGCCAAATTGTGAGCCTTGGGCTGATGTCCAGGCACATAAACACCTCAGTGCCCTGCTCTAACCTAAGAATAATATATTGGGAGAATTCAAGATTGTCAGCCTCTTGGCTGCTCCATAGCTGTGGCGTGGAGGAGAGAGCATGATAAATTAGTGGAATGGGGAAGTAGACCACCCTGGTAAAAAAAAGTAATGGCAGGGCTTCCTGCCATGGCCATGACCCGGTCTGCAGTCATGTGCAGCTGTAGTTTTGAAATCATTTTACTTCTGGAGTTTTTAGGCAGGGCAAAAGACCCTATGGGACTTCCAATTTTTCCAAGAAATAGTTATATAATCTTTTAAAAAATACATATTTATTGATTTCAGAGAGGAAGGAAGAGGGAAAGATAGAGAAATCAATGATGAGAGAATAATTGATTAGCTGCCTTTTGCATGCCCCACACTGGGGATCAAGACAGCAACCTAAGCATGTGCCCTGACCAGGAATCGAACTGTGACCTCCTGGTTCATAGGTTGACACTCAACCACTGAGCTATGCCAGCCAGGGCAGTTATATAATCTCAAAGTTGGAAAAAACCAGTTAGCTCAATCTCTCTTCTCCACTTCCAAAGAGTAGGAGAGGTGGTGGGTCACAGCTAGTTAACACAGAGCGAGGCCCAGGATTGGGTTCTCTGATTCGTAGGTTTGGTCAAGGTCTTTTTCAGTTAAATTTTAATATATGGATTCAATTATCAACCAACTTGGAACAGCTCTTATTTTAAAACCCACATCTCAACATGATCTGAAATTTCAGACTACTGCAAGGGCACTGGTACACTCAAGTGTTGAGACCCACACACTCAGAGCCAAGGAAGGAACAAGGACAATAGTCTACAAAAGCTAATGGGACAGACAAAGAGCTTAAATTTGAAAGAAGGACCAAACTCAGAAACAACAGCTTATATGTTTATTGAGCTACTAGAAACCAATCTAAAGCATGTGCTTCTGCTTCTAGAATCCCAATACTAGAAATGAGATGGATCTTTGAACGAAGACCAAGGCCGGCCTGGATTTAAAACCTACAAGCTGCCAGACACACATTTATTTACTCTGTTCCCCATAAAGTACAGGTCTACATTCACTTTCCATGCATGGAATGCCACAGTGTGCCAGGGGCTTTTCTGCTGGAAGCAAATTCCAGCAGGTGATAATTATGCAAGAAGTTCATCAGAAGGCTGATGAACCTTGGGACTTCAGCAGGGCTGAAGATCTGCATATATTATTGCCTGCTGCCAGACAGCTGAGGGCAGTTCCCCCAACTTGATAATACTTTGTTTACCAAACCTTACCTTTGATATGTACATCTGCTTTGCTATAAGACAAAATGTGGGAATAAAAAGCCAGGGGTCTGGAGATTCGGAGAGCTTAGTCACTAGAATTAAGTTTCCCTCTGGCACCCCAAAATGCCTTCCAAATTCATATTTCTTCTCTAGTCTTGTCATTCATTTATGCACAGCCCTTCTCCAGATTCCTGAACCCTTGTAGATGCGGAAAAGACCCCGGCACTTTTCTATGTATTTGATTCTTACAGTCAAGGAGTAAGAGAGGTTAGATTGGAAAACAGAATTTGGGGTAGAGAAGGGTGCAAGGCCACATGGTTAGTGATGGACTCGAAATGAAAACCAAGTCCCCACATCAGCAAGCCTTGGTGAAAAACGTGAAGAGGAGCTTCAACACCCAGGAAATACTAGTATTTGGTGGAGACTAAAGGTGCTGGGACATTTTGGGCCACCTGTCCCTTTGTTACCTACACCATCTGAGCTGTGCTCGGTGCAGCTTGCTGCCCTCTGGGGACCAGCCTTTAAGGCTTACAGGGCAGCTCTGGCACCCACAGCCAAAGACAATGAACATAGGTACTTTCATGCAAAATCTTTATTTGGAACATGTGTGTCACTGAGCAGGTCAGTCATCCTAAAATAACAAGTCTTTACATTATGCAGAGAAATACAAGAGCTCCTTGAAGACATTCAGCTGCCCCTCTGGCTTCCACAGGGGAAAGGGACTACTAGTTGGGGGAGCGCCCCTCCTCACCCCAAATGAAGGCATTGGGACAAATAGCCAGTCTTGCCTTTGGGTTAAAGTTTCAGTCAGAGGCCACAGCACAAGGTCCTTCTTGTCCCCTGTACTAAACACAGCTTTGACAGGGGCTCTCAAAAGTCAAAGCCAGGAATGTGCGCACAGGCGCACTCTGCCCACCTCGCTGCACTGCCCATCTCGCGGCCCTGCTGATGAACTTAAGGATTGTTTCCACGGGCAGTTTGCTAGACCATACAGATCTTTCCAAAGGACTTTAATCTGAGTTGCAGTCTTAATCACTCCTTAACATGCAGGCTGGGGACCATTCTTTCTTTAATGTTATTTTATCATCTTCCCTGGGTGAGTCCCACAGTGGACCAACCCAGAGTTTTGGAAAAGGACCTCCCACCATGCAGATTCTTAAAGGTCACTTGGAATGTGTCTCTTAAATCCTGTCCTGAGTAGCAGCTCTCCTCCCACAAACAGATGTACAGAATCTGCAATGAAAAGCATAACAAAAAATGCATCTCCCCCCTAAGCCTACTCTAACAGCTTCAGTTCAAGAAACACACTCCCATCCCTCACTCCATCCCTTACACTTCATGCCTCCTGCAGATGATCTAGCAGAACAATGGCCCAAACACAAAAGTAACTGCCTACAAAAACTTAGAAAACTGGAAGTGTTTCTCTAAGCTCAGATATTTAGAGAAAATTCTGCTGCACTGGTCACTTTGCAAGATGCTAACCTGATACTTAACTGTGTATTATTTAACCATTTTAAACAAAAAAAAAAACAACAAAATAGCCAAAACACATAAACATAATCCTTGGGGACCAGATGAAATGTGGGTTAATCTTATCTTCCATTGGTCTCTTCTGCTCAGAGCTGGGAAGTAGTTGTGTCAGTTGTGGATAGGGCTCAGCATTTCCCCTCAGAAGCCCTTAAACCAAACTTCTATCAGAGTAATCCTTTTACTGTCACAAAAAATGGCCAGGGTCTAGTTTTACAATCATTGGAGTTTATGCACTTGAACTTGCATTAACACCAACCCTTCACCAACAGTCAGAACTTTGAGTAGCAAAAGTTCTACTTAGATTTTCCAAATGAATCAAAACCTCAACCTACATTTCTAGTATGGACACCAGGATCTCAGAGTAGACACATTTTTAAGTGACTTTTAAAAAAGAAAACCCAAAGTTAGAAACACCATGGAAAAGGATTCTGAACCTGCAGTCAGGGGCTGCACTTCTAAGAAGTTTTCTGTGGTTTGCAGAAACGAAAGATTGAAAATGTTAATAAAGATATTTGGTTTTCAATCATTCAGAAATTTTCTTCAAAGAAGTAATTAGAGCTATATACCAATATTTTCCCCTACTTTTACAATTAAGAAATACAAATACATTTCATACATAATTCCTCATATAATTTTTAGTTCAAATGGTCAAAATTAGAACTTTTAATTTAATTTTATAAGCCCTAAATTATTAAACACCAAAAGTTAGTCAAACATATGAGAAAAACAATGACAAACACAAAATACAAAAAAAAAATTTCAGCCACAACTAATAACAAAGAGGTATGTATGTATGAGCAATAGAAGTAATAAAAGAATAACTATCATTAAATTCAAAACCTCTGGGAAAGCTATTTCTGATTAGACTGTATTATTTATCTTAGAATACACAAGTTTAAAAGTCAAATTTTCAAAGTTACTATATTCAAGCTGGAATCCAGAAATGAAAGTTAGAAGTATAAATATTGATAATTTCAACTAAATTCAGAATGGTTTCAGAAAACTATAATAATTTAGAATAAAACAAAATAAAAGTATCAAACATAAGGTACATTAATTTTTTTTCTCTTTAGGATTCTTCTTTCTCGTGAGGAATAAACTAAAATTTAATTCTTTTCATTAAAAGAAGTCTTTATATGGGATCAACAAAATTTAGAAGGAAGTCAGAACACAGTTCAAATATATGTATGTATATATGTATGTGTCTATATGTATATGTACATATATATCTGCATATATTTATATATATGTATATATATAAACATATGCAGATATATGCATTTCACTTGCATTTAAAGAGGGAAACATGTAACTGCCCTCATTTAGTTCTACCAGATTACTTAAGTGATTCACTGACCATGACAGAGTAATAAACCTCTTACTCACTAAATTTTTCCTGGGAAAAACAATCTAAGCTATGCCTAGCAGTCACTTGGCCCTTCTCTTTGTGTTGTGAAAACAAGAGCCTACTACAACTTTTCACAAAAGCCAAAAATCAGGAAAGAAGTGGCTATGAGTAATAGGTAGGAACCAAGACTACAGATAAGTGTATTCGAAATGATTTTTCAGAATTATTTAGATCCTGTATTGTTTATTACAGTCCAAATACATGAAGTTCTTATGACATAAAATCATATGTTACAGATAAAAACAGGCCAGGAAAGCCCAGTCAGAATTGTTTTAGGGCCAAATTGCAGACCACCCAACAATTCACATTTTAGGAATCTGAAATGTCTAAAAATAGATCAGGTGGTTTCTCAAAAAAAAAAAAAAAAAAGGGTGGGGGGGGAGAGAGAAAAGGAAAGAAGGAAAAAAAGCCGAGAGAGAGAGAGAGAGAGAGAGAGAGAGAGAGAGAGAGAGAGAGAGATTTAAAAAAGAAAAAGAAAAAGAAGGAAGGGAAGAAAAGGGAGGGAGGGAGAAAGGGAGGAAGGGTGTAGACAAGAACCCATTCAGGAAATGTTAGCTAACAAGAATACCTTACTTAGAAAGAAGAGACAAATGCATAAAAATGCATAAACTTTGTGCAGGATAATGCAATAGTAAACACAGTAGAATACATAGGCCTCATAATACTTTTGTAATGGCATATATATGTCTCTAGCACATTTTTAAAATATGCAGAGATTAAGTAAGGATCATTCTAGATAAAAATACATATTTTTAAAGGGTGGGGGGAGAAAAGCATGGTCTCAGGGCAGACCCCCATAGATATACAAAAATGAAACTACACTTTTTGGTAATTCTAGTGGATATGGCAGCAAAAATTGTGGACATTGGCTGGTTTTGAGAGGATTATTTTCACATATAACCTTATAGTTATATTTGTAAAAAAAAAAAAACTTTTGTGAAAAGTTTATTTAATCCTGTAAAATGTCTATATTGAGATCTCTTTCTAAGATAAAATAAAAATAGCCAAGTTGTGAGCGGGTAAGGGATATGTGCTTTAAAGCAGATGTGAACCCTCTGTGGGTCTCTCTCACACAAAGGGATACAGATTCTTAAATAAAATAAAACTCCCTTAAAAATCTGCCATCTAACAACTGTTTACATCATAGAAAAATAGCTTTTTTGTAAAAAGAAATATAGTTACTTTGTTAAAATGGTCTATTTTAAACCAGCAATTATTTTTCATATAAAGAATTTCTAAACGTCCATACAGAAAATAAAAATAGATAATACTGAGTGCAAAGCAGACATGGCATGTTTGCAAATGAGCAAAATATTTCATTACAAGATAAATTATATTCTTAGTACGTTATAGTAAGTTTTAATCTTTTAGGAACTTAAAAAGATATTGCTTTTAGTCTCTGATGGCAAGTTACTTATAAGTGAAGTTACTTCCAGCAGCAAAAGGCCAAATTTATTAGAAATGGATCAGATATAGTCATTCACATTTCCCTTAAACTCAAAGTGCAGAAACGCTGTCCCAAATTCCTTTACATGAGCATGGACCATAGGCCCTGGAGATGTGAAAGGGAATTTATGACATTCACAGTCATTTCAAAAATCATTCACTCTATTGTCCATGTTCAAATTGTCACAGAAGCAGATTAACACCAAACATTTTACCAGTTTGGCTAAATCCATCATGCAGGAGAGTCCATGTGACTCTTCTAAACACAGGTATTAACTCTTCATTTGTAAAAACAGATAGTTTCAATGGACTACTTCTTTACTTCCACAAAGTGATTCTGAAGGCATGACGAGTCTCCTGGTAGCAGGGGTAGTGATACCACAGAGCACTAACAGCCAGCAGTTTCCAGCTGATACAGAACACTCAATTTGCAACTATGGTGGATGCACTTCACTGGCATCTCATCACACCCGCTCCACTCTGCTAGGGTCATACGAATCTGTAAAAAAAAAGAAAAGAAAATTAGTGGAATATTCAACTGGTCTGTTTCCTGTTTGATCCTCAGACCACAGATAAATATGTTTAGGGAGCAAAATCTATTTCAACAATCTTGTTTTCACTGAGTGAAAAACTGTCATCAGAAAGCTGTTTTAAAGGGACATGTATTATCACCAATGGAAAAATGTGAGTTGCTTAATATTTTTGATGGTCTCTTCCTGCTGTTCATAATGAAATATAACTAACCTTAAATGTGATGCCTGTTAACCAGCAGTGGTGTGCTTGGCTGATACCAAGGATTATTTAAATTTTTTGGTAAATTACAATTCTAATGAAAGTTTGCTTTGCTGTGTGCGTCTTCATGACCGAATGCTGTCACCGGAAAGCTTGAGGACCCTGAAATCCTGACTGTTTGGCCTCCTGCCTCTGACTGCCACCAGCCAGCCCAGGGCTGGACACAGGCCTGTTAGCACAAATCTTCTGGGCCTTTCCACACATAGGTATGAGTCTGGACTGCCCACGGACCCATTCTGTAGCCCACACTGGAAAATCCCAAACTGGGCCCAGATGTCCTAGATTTCCCAGACGGGACACCACAAAAAAAAACAAAACAGCAAGCAGCAGCCCTAACCTGTCCTTAGTGCTGCAGCCGGTGATGCTGACTGTGACCACCTGCGAGTCACAGATCTCTGGGTCCAGGCAAACCTGACGCTCACACATCTGCCTCCTATGGTCAGAAATTCCTGCCACAGCAGCTCAAAGGTTTTCTAACTTTTTAGGAGAGGATACATAAGAAATCGGAAGGATGGTACAATTTGATAGTTATAAGAAGTATTACAAACAATCACTTCTCAAGTCATCTGGAGAACTGTATTATGCGCCCACACAGATCCCAGTGTCTCCAGCAGCACCTCTTCCTCACACCTGCTCAACTACAACATATTTACTGCACGAAGCCACAACTGTGACAACCGAGACAACATCTAGAGCACTCCGACTCTGACACTGAACCAATAGGGCAGTCTTTGCATTTGGGAAGAGGAGTTTGCTGTTCCTCAAACGTGATTCACTGCACTAACTGCCCATCAGACTAAAGCCAGCGGAGTCCCAAGAGCTAGCGCCTTCTGATTTCTTACCCAGAACACCATCCAGTGGGACGAGAGGATGTTAACAGCTGAGCGCCACTATTGCGCTGCACCAGCCTCACCGGGAGCTGACTCTGATAGGGACCACCTGTGAGCAAAGAGGTCTTCTTCCCCACTGAGAATGAGGTGGGCGGTCACGTATGGTGGCTCTGGAAAGGGTGCACTGCAGCTGGTGAGGTGGGGAAGAGGCTGAGCATCTGGGAGGCCTCAAATCACATAGGCTTGGGCACTAACCAGCCCCTCAGGGCCAGGTACTTGGGGACACCTCCACAGAACGTGCCTGCACTCCAGAGCCCCACTGCTGAAGTTAGGGGCCAAAAGACAGAGTGGAAGAGAATTCTGAAGAACATGGGCTCCTTCCTCAGGTCATGGAGCATCTGGGTCCATTAAAAATGAGCCACATAATATTATTTTACATTTTCCAGTAGCCACGTTAAACCAAATAAAAAGAAACAGGGGAAATTAATTTTAATGCTATATTTTATTTCACCAAATAGACCCAAAATATCATTTAAACAGGTAATTGATATAAAAATTGAGAAATTTTAGATTGTTTTTGTACTACACCTTGAGCTCTGGTGTGTGTTTTGCACGTATGGCCCATCTCAGTTGGGATGAGCCACATTCAAGTGCTCAGGACCACATGCGACAGGGCTACCACTGCCTCCAGGTCTAGAGAACAGAAAGGTTCTCTGAGGAGCTGGAATCCTGGCTCCTGTGGGCAATGTTTAGGTGAAGAGAAGTCACTAAGCCTGCCCCAGGGGATATTTCACATGTGACCACCCCCTTAAAGATGTGCTAATGTCTAGCCTTCTAATACCATTATGTGGCCTCACCAAACCTTCCCAGATTTCCTCACTGCAGCCCTGAGGCAGTCTCTCCTCCACACGCACATTAAGAGGATATATGGAAGTGAATGGAACACTATCTGTGCCTGGGATTGCATTGTGAATTGGAACATAATCCATCTAGTGGAGATAGCATTCTGTTCCCTGACTTAGTTTTGAGCTGCTGATTTCTTAGCCAGTGCCCCAAAAGCCCACTGAAAAGATGTTAGCTGAAATGCCCATCTTTAAACTGAGATAAAGACACTTCATGATGATAGGTACTATAATGCCACATAGATAAATAGATAATAAAATTCTGGAAGGTGGTGTGGGGGGGAAGCACTTATAGATAAACATGGTATATTCTCATTTTGAAATTCCATAACAAAATCTAAATTTGAGCGGGCTGTGCATTTAGGAGCAGTGAAGCAGTTCTGATACATTGGGTGATGGAGGCAGGGGTGGGGTGGGGATAGAGATGAGGAGTCTTGTATTCAAAATAAAACTTAGCAAGCCCTGGCCAATGTGGTTCAGTTGGTTGGAGCATTGACCCATGGACTGAAAGGTTTTGGGTTCAATTCCCAGTCAGGGCACATACCTAGGTTTTAGGTTCAGTCCCAGGCAGGGTGTATGCCAGAGGCAGCCAATTGATGTTTCTCTCTCACAATGATGTTTCTCTCTCGGTCTCTCTCTCCCTTTCCCTTTCTCTAGAATCAATTAATGAGCATGTCCTCCACTGAGGATTAAAATAAATGAATAATAAAATAAAATTTAGCAAAAGTAAAACAAAGTCCAAGTTTACCAGCAACAAAGCTTTATTCTAATTTGTAAAGCAACACTGAAGAGAAAATTTACAATTTGTGAAAAATTTTACTACCTCAGTCATATGATCTCTCCAAAGAACTAATTTGAATACTGAGGCCTGATGGCCATCACATGAAAGGCCGATGGAGTTTCATCTGGGCCACTGCACATGTAAGAAATCTTCCCTAGTAGTGTCCTGCTATGCAATTACTTAAGAATGCCTAGGGTAGCTGTCTGTCATCATAAGTTGCTCTCTGCCTTCAGATTTTTGGTCATTTTATTATACATTAACAAATACATCAGAAGAGAAGAAAAAAATACTTCTACTTGTTAGTAACTATGGTTAAAAAAAAAAAGGCCACAGGGGAGGTGTTTTTAATGACTGAATAAAATTAAAATTGGCATTATCTAAGTGTTTTCAGATACCTATCCCATCCCATTCACATGTCAGATGGTAAGCTAAAATTAAGGGCGTGCTTTATTGAACTAGAAATTTTATGTTATAAAATACTACCTGTAATATGTGGCCATAGACTGGGACATAGAATTCTTTACAAACAGGTGTTTTATTTTAATAGGATTTGTCTTATTTTAAAGTCCTTATAATTCTCAGGATGAGGTAGGACTGATAAAATCATCCTAATTTTATAGATAAAGAAACTCATCTTAAAAGCTACAATGTCTTCTTAACTAGCACTTACACATGAGTGGGCATATTTTGGGGGGAAAAGGAGAGGAGGAATTATGCTGAAGGCTAATAAATCCCCATAGCCCCAAATATGGGTCATGTAACATTTTTCCACCATAATGGCAAAGGTTCTTGTCCTCAGCAAAGACCAAATTTGTCAAATGAGATGGTCAAAGAAGGCCATGACAAATCAGTTATTTCAATCATGTAGCATTTTGCATAAGGCACAGAGCAACATTGGCTAACACTCCTAAGAATCATACTGCATTTCTGGGAAAATTTAAAAAGCGCCAAGTAGATGTTTTTGTTTGACAAAAATATTTGGATTCTTCTAACTGAAACAAGTGATCTTTTCCATCTACTTTTAAATTCTTGGATTTCATCCTTGCTTATATGGTTAATTATGACAAAGAAGGCAAGGATATACAAGGGGGTAAGGATAGTCTTTTCAATAAGTTATGTTGAGAAAACTGGACAGAGACATGCAAAAATAAGGCTGTATCATTTTCTTACACCATATAAAAAAGTAAAAATGATTTAAATACTTAAATATAGGATTTGAAATCATAAAACTCTTCAAAGAAAACTGGCAGTAAACTATGTGACATTTCTCTTAGTAATATTATTTTCTGATATATCTCCTTGGGCAAGGATAACAAAAGAAAGAGTAAACACATTAAACTATATTAAACTAAAAAGTTTTTGCACAGCAAAGGAAACCATCACCAAGAGGAAAAGGCAACCTACTGAATGGGAGAACATATTCACAAATGATACATTTGACAGGGGGTTAGTATCCAAAATATATAAGGAACTCAGACAACTTAACTCCCAAAAAAATAAAAAATCTAATTAAATAATGTGTAGAGGACCTAACTAGACACTTTTCCAATGAGGACATACAGATAGCCAACAGACATATGAAAAGATGCTCAACATCACTAATCATTAAGGAAATGCAAAATAAAATCACAACAAGATATCATTTCACACCTGTTAGAATGGTTGCCATTAAAAAAAAAAGATCAGCCGAAACTGGTTTGGCTCAGTGGATAGAGCGTTGGCCTGCGGACTGAAGGGTCCTGGGTTCGATTCCGGTCAAGGTCATGTACCTTGGTTGCGGGCATATCCCCAGTGGGGGATGTGCAGGAGGCAGCTGATCGATGTTTCTCTCTCATCGATGTTTCTAACTCTCTATCCCTCTCCCTTCCTCTCTGTAAAAAATCAATTAAAAGTAAAAAAAAAAAAGATCAACAAACAACAAGTGTTGGCAAGGATGTGGAGAAAGGGGAATGCTTGTGCACTGTTGGTGGACTTGTAAATTGGTGCAGCCACTGTGGAAAACAGTATGGAGGTTCTTAAAAAAATTAAAATTAGAGCTGCCATATGACCCAACAATTCCACTTCTGAGTATTTATCTGAAGAAAACAAAAACACTAATTCAAAAAGATATGTGCAACCCTATGTTTACTGCAGTATTATTTATAGTAGCCAAGATATGGAAGCAACCAATTGATAGATAAATGGATAAAAAAGTTGTGGTACATATATACAATGGAATATTACTCAGCAATAGAAAAGAATAAAATATTGCCACTGTGACAGCATGCATGGACCTAGATGGTATTATGCTAAATGAAATAAGTCAGATAGAGAAAGACAAATACCATATTATTTCATTTACATGTGAAATCTAAAAATAACAACAACAAAAACAAATGAATACCGAAAACAAAACAGAGACAGTCCTACAGATATAGAAAACAAGCTGATGGTTAACAAAGGGGATGGGAGATTGGGAAAATGGGTAAAATAAATAAATAAGAATCACCACAAGGTTCAAACCTATTTCAAAACAAGTAAAAAGAAGCTGAAAGAAATATTGACATTTTGAACTCTGAAAAGGGAGATGTTTAGATGACATCTCTCCTTATGGAAAAGTAAATAAATAAATACACCCTTGGATTTCAAAATAAAAAACAGAGAAGCAGGGTGGGGAACCATCCCGCTGGGGCAAACTGGAAGGAGGAGGGGCCTGGCTCAGGAGGTCAGATTGGGGTCCTAGGGTAGTGGGGTAACACTCATCTCAGGGGGCACAGTTTCAGCTTACTGTGAAAAGGTCTGAATTAATGAGTTAAGGTTCCCCCAGTCTGTGGTTTATGATACAGACCTTTGGATAACTACCTCAACTCACCTGATCATTTTTAAATACATAATTGATAATCCCCAGCCCCTGAAGAAAGTGTCTGAAACAGAGATGCCAAGGGTTCTCCTGGCCTGTTTGTGTCATAGTTGAGATGATGAAATTGTGTTCGAGGAAAATCACTGTTGCTGTCATTGGGGACCTGCCCTGGCTTTATGAAACAGAGAAGGCTCTCAAGGTATCTTAAGGTGAAAGGATGGAGAGGCCCAAACGCCTGCAGAATGCTGTTGCCCAAACTGAGTCGCCTGGGATTTCAAAATCAGAACTTAGGGGCCTTTAAAGAAACAGAGTTAATGAGTGGACTTTTAGGGGTGGGTGTTGAGAAAGTGAAAACTGTTAATTTATGTGTACTAAAGTTTCATAAATGGTGTGGTAGTGAAAACAGATAAAAATGGGAAGAAGGGCAAGGAATTTGGAAGGTGAAATGTGGGCAGTAGTTTATTTAATCAACTTGCATATCTTTTCTTTCAAGGTTAATAAAGAGCAATGAGGATTATTTGGGTGAATGCCTATTATTTTAGGAGAGAGTACAGAGCACAAATGCTATGGTCTCTTACAAGATTTTTCAAGGTGTCTGCACCAACTTTAGAATAATTCATTGACTCACCTCATCACAGTAAGGGGCCCAGTATGTTGTTATATGGATAATTTGATATAGTAGTTTATGTAATTTCTATAAAGACAGTCATTTAAAATATACTACAAGATCTTGATTTTTCAGGAAACTTCTAGATAATATTTTGTAAAATCTTCTGGTATAATAATTTGCAGGGTCAATTTGATCTTTTCTGAATATGCAAATTTTCATTATCCATCAACCTAGTATTTTTTCATGCTCCGAGGATTCCAAATTAATAATGAATGCCTGCCCTGCCCTGGTGGCTCAGTTGGGTGGAGCATCAGCCCGTACACCAAAAGGGTTGCGGGTTCCATCTCTAGTCAGGGCATGTGTAGGAAGCAACCAAGTGACACTTCCATCGGTGTTTCTCTCCCACATCAATGTTTCTCTCTCCCTTCCTCTCTCTAAACATATCCTCCTGTGAGAATTAAAAAACAAACAAACAAACACCTGCCACTTGCCTGACTCCTCACCTGGGCACCAGAAGTCCCGATCCAAGTTCTTCTCCCTTCCTGGTTCCAGATGCCCATTTTCTTCCAGTGAGAGTGCGCTCTTGGAGATAGAGAATGTATTTCCCACCTTCCGGGCCAGGTCCCCAGTGGTCAGAGACACCAGGCCTCTTGGCTGAGCTCCTGGGCCCCTCTCAGCCTTCAGTTCCTCAGCATCCTCCACGGAGTCAGTGCTCCAGGAGCTCAGGAGCCTCATCCGAGACATGGAGCTCACCTCTTTCATCCTCATCAAGCGGTCAGTGTCGGCTCGCCTGGGGGGGGAAGCCAGTTTCTCTTGTAAACTTTCAATCACTTTGGAAGTACTTCTGAGCCTCTTTTCTGAGCCTGCCACACTTGGAGCCCTTTCTATAAAATGGAACAAAGTGGACCTGAAGGATGGTTCTGTCCCCATGCCCTTGTGATTGAAGGACTCCAAGTCACTGGGCTGAGACTCTGGGTCAGTGGCCTTGCTGGGGACGACCCTGTCCACACCAGAGAGTTCAGAAGTCCTTGGAGCCTGCGGGGCACTGTCCCTTTCCCCTACGAACAGAGGGCTTTTGGTCCAGCCACACTTTCTCCTGCCATAAAAGGCATCATTGGAAACTGTGGGCTCATCCGGCTGTGCTGGACTGGACACTGGTTCCTCCCTAGGGGACACCAACCTTCGGGCACTGCCATCAGGCTCAGAGGGCTGGTTATGTCCTGTTCTCCTGGTGCCCGGCAACAGGGACTCCACGGCCACCTCGATGCCCAGTATCCTCGCAGCCCTCATTTGAAGGGACTCATTTGGGGGGATTTCTATTGCACTCTTGTCACCTGAAGACCCATCTAACTTACTGGCACTCCACTCTTGTGCTGGAGTCAGCCCCACGGACCTCAAGTCTGGTACCGAGAGTCCGAAAGGTTTGCTGGCAAGAGAGAGGGGGCCCACCGTGCTCCTCTCCTCCCCACCACCAGGTGTGGGAGGGGCTGCTTGGCTGGGCTCCACAGACTTTACAGCACTGGGGAGCTCCTGCCCTTCCTGGGGCTCTCTCAGTTCAGCTGAAGCAGATGAGGACACAGTGTCACGTGACCTAGAAGATGTTATTCTTTTCACAGGTCTTGGGCTGACTGCTAGCTCTTTTATTCTTGTCCCGACATCTTGGTTTCTCCTCTCTGTAATCAAGCTTCCCCGTGTTGACAGCAACGCTTCACCTCTGCTGTCCTCCACCTGCAAGGGGCCCAGGTACTGAGGACGAGCACCCTGGTGGCAGGTGGCAGGCTTCTGCTCCTCACTCCAACTCTCAGACTTACTCTTAACTCTTCCCGACCTAAACACAGGCTCCTCCGGCACCACCCCCCTTGGCGGTTCCTTCCCTCTCCTTTCCTGGCTCTCCCCAGTGAAGCCCAGATTCCTGAGTGTGCAGCCAGCATGGCCTTCTGGCTGCCATCCTGTCTCACTGCTCTCATTGCTACTGCTGCTCTGACTGCTCTCTTCCTCTTCCTGAAGCTCCTTATTAAAACTTTCTAACTGACTTATCAAATCCCATGGACGACGGCTAACTGGCTTTAAAAGAAATTGACCAAACAGCTGTTGACTATTGCATGGACCTGTGGTTGCCCCCTTCACCACCTCGCCTCTGGACACAGGACTGGGTGCACGTCCACGGTCATCCATGCAGGGCTGACTCTGGTCCACTGTTGGCATAGGTGCCTGGTTTCTGAGTAAGGAAGTCCTTGAAAAAGCACTGTAGCTAGAAGGGTTGAGGGACACTTGACCTTTTAGATGATGAACACTTGGCTTCTGGTTCTGGTCACTGGAAGCTAATGTTGTGTGCATCTGAGCTTCGGAGGCAGGAGGGTCCAGAAAATTTGGAGTCAGCACTGCATTAGGTGACCCTCCTGACTTAGCAGGGAGGGGCTGCGGGCTTTTGGATTCTTCTGTGAAAGTGGTTTGTGTTTGCTGATCTTTGTACTGGTGCCCTGGCCACGAGCCAGAATACTGGAGTACTCTGTGTTTCATGGGGTGAATGAATCTGAGGTCATCTGTTTGTTTGTCTTCTTCTGGTTCCCCCAGATCTTGTTTTTGAAACTCTGTTCTCCCAGCCATGCTTCCTGTGAGAGCTTGCAGCTCCAGGTCGGTGGAAGACATGCTCAGCAGACTTTGTTCTTGCAGAGCTGGGCTCTTATCAAGCCCATGCTTCTTATCAGCACTCTGTTTTAAGTCATTGTTGTTCCTATCTATATCTGGCAGATGTGATTCTGATTTCACTGGGATAGAAACCAAACAAAATATCGTCTCGTTCATTTTTTTCTTTGAACTTTTCTTGGTCTTAATCCCAGTTTCAAACTTTTTGAGCTTGGTTTGGGTTTCACAGGTACTCTTGCCCTGTGGGTTTGGGGAGGAGACTTGGCTTTCTGCTTGTCCATGTTGGCTGCCTCTCACGTCAGGCCACTGTCCTCTCATAACACAGTGGTCTCTCTGGTCAGGAAAGCCACCATTTTCTCCATCCCTGGGGAGCTGGCCCCACAGCCATGGGGGACTGGGATTGGCAAGGACAGGGGCTCTCTCTCTCTCTGATGCTGGCATGATGCTCTGTGGGTTTAAAACGGCACCATCATGATGCATGCTTCCATGAGCTGGCTCTGGGGCAGAGACTGGACCAGAGCTATACAATTTCTCATCTACCTTTGTTTTGTCACAGAAACCCTGGGGTTGGGCCAGTTTAATATGTCGGATCCGTGGATCGTCAAAGGGAATATACTGAACAGAGCCATCGTAAGCAGTGATGGGATGGGGCTGTTTCAGGAACTCATTTCCAGTCCCAAGGGAACCAGAAGGAAGCTGAAAGCTGGCAGCAGCCTCCTCAATTGGATGACGGCGACCATCATACACATGCCTGGGGGCCACATCCTCCACATAGGGGTTTGTGATGTGCTGGGGTGGTGACCTATACGATGGCGGAGGCACGTACACTGGAGGCTCCAAACCAGAGTCGGGCAGGCAGACCTCCTGCCTGTAGGAAACACTCAGGTCTGCCTGTTGGCTGTCCAGATGGTCGCTGTTTTCCACTCCCGCCCTGGAGTGTTGGTGGGAGTCATAGGAGGGAGGCTTGAGGGGTCTCCCAAATTTTGGCCATGGTAAGGAGATAGAGGAGCCACCCTTCTCAGGGTTCCTTGTGGATTCCAAATTCGGTGCACAATCTGGAGGAAAAAATGGCATTCTAGAAACATCTGTTAAATACCCATCACTTAACGGAATTTCCATGCAACTCAGGCTCTTAGGGGAGAGAACTCTAGGCAGTGACTGGGATTTCCCTTTGCTTTGAGAATTTAACACCTGTTCTCCTCGCATGAATGGGTACAGATCTTGAAACCGTTTCTCCCCATCACCATCAGACATCTGTCTTCCTAATTTCCTTGTATGGTTCCAGCTTTCCAGGCTTACATTCTGCCACTTGTCAGGGCCCCCCATTCTCAGCTCTTCTTCCCAAACCACCTTCTTCATCACATTCTCTGTCCTTCCTCCAACTTCCCATGAACCCTCTCTCGTGTGGATGGGCAGACTGTGGGCTTGGGCCACTTCTCTGACCTCCAGGTCTTCTCGGTCTCTCGGAGCCAGCAAGCCACCGACCTCCTGTCCTCTTCTCCAATAGGCATGGTTGTGACCACTTTGGTGCTGAGAGAACCACGCCAGCCTGGGTTGATGATAAAACCTATAAAATAAGAGGCACAGAAGTTACACCAAGGGAGGAAGCACACACTGCTTCTGTGACTGGTGATCCAAGTCAAATGTGGAACAGTACTTTTGAAAAATAGATTCCCCGCTAGAGTACTTGTCAACTTTAAAGAAAACACATCCCACTAATTATGGCTGGAAGGCAGTCACATGTTTTGCCATCCAAGGGCCTAGGAATGACAGCAACAGGCTGCCCACAGACATCAGGCCACTGGTTATACTTGAAAGATGTCAAGGCCCTTATAACTTTGAATGCCCAAGGGAACAAGGATAAACCTGAGGGCATTGATTCTCAAGTGTGGTCTTGGGCCACTGGGAGTCCATTCCCAGCTCAGTCCAGACCACTGAGTTCTGGGTGAACAAGTCTGAGAACCTGCTTTTCACAGCCCCACCCTGTCGCAGTGGTTCTTAAACTTCAATGTGTAACAGGAATCCAAGAAGGTTACTAAGACACAGGCTTCTGAGTCCCATCCCCAGTTTCTGATTTAGCAGGCCTGATGAGGTGCCACAAGGTACATTTTTAATTATTATTTAAGTTTCAGGTGTATAACATTATAATTTGACATCTATATACACTACAAACTATCACTTCCAAAAGTTTAATCATTATCCATCGCCATATAATTGATTGATCCCCTTCACACCTTTGGCTCACCCGCAACCCTCTTCTCTTCTGGTAACCACCGACCTATTCTCTGTATCTATCAGTTGGTTTTTGTTTTCTCTTGTTTGTATATAGAAACATTGGAATACTACTGAGCCATAAAAGAAAAATAAAATATTTTATTTGGGACAACATGAATGAATCTTGAGGGTATAATGCTAAGTGAAATTAGTTAGAAAAAGGCAGACACCACATGCTCTCCCTCATATGTGAACCATAGTGATCATTTCTAATGGGCCCCAGGTGATGCTGGCACTGTTGGTCCCAGCACCCCACTCTCAGAATCATCACTGCCTGTGGTTGTCAACCATGACTGTGTATTAGAATCTGGAGGGACTTCATAGCTTCTGATGCTCAGGCAGTATCCCAGCTCCACCACGTTAGAATGGTGGAGGCCTGAGGGGAACTAGACATCAGCGTTTTTCCAGGTCCCCCAGGGATTCCCAGTGTGTGGCTGAGACAGAACCACGGCTCTAGATCAGTTCCCACACTTCCCTCATGTGGGCTCAGTAAAGACACACATTACCAAATCTCTCCCCCTGGAAGTCAATGGCTTAGGATTCAGGTGGCAGTGTGTATTTTAAAATCCTTATTGGAGGATATGTTTTCATTGATTTTTAGAGAGAAAACAAAGGAGAGCAAAGCATCAATATGAAAAAAAATATCTATCAGTTGCCTCCCATATGCGCTCTGACCAGGGATTAAATCTGCAACCTAGGCATGTGCCCTGAACTGGAATTGAACCCGCAACCTTCTGGTGTACAGGATGATGCTTCAACCAAACTCCCCTGGAAAGTACTCCAGGGGAGTCTTTCCTTCAGACATGTGAGAAATACTTCCAGGGCTGACTCTGTTCATGGGCAGAACTATCTACCAGGCAGGAAGTGGTAGCACAGTCTGGCATAAATGCCAGCCTAACTCCAGGTTGCCGTTCACCACCTGGCTGTACATTAGAATTTCCTTGTGAGCCTTTGAAAACTGTCAATGCCCAGGGCCCACCCCCTTATATTTGGATCGAATCAGTTTAGTGAAGAGTCCAAGACCAGTATATTTTAATATCTCCTCAAATGAGTCTACCATGCATCCAAAGTTTAAAATCACTGTTCAGCCCTAGCCGGTTTGGCTCAGTGAATAGAGTGTTGGCCCGCAGACCAAAAGGTCCTGGGTTGGATTCCAGTCAAGGGCACATACCTAGGTTGTAGGCTCCTCTCTAGCCCTGGCCCTGGTCGGGGCTCATGCAGGAGGCAACCAATCAATGTGTTTCTCTCACATCGATATTTCTCTCTGTCTTTCCCTCTCTCTTCCATTCTCCCTAAAAATCAATGGGAAAATATCCTTGGGTGAGGATTTAAAAAAATAAAATAAAATAAGATCACTGTTCAAATGCAGCTGAAGAAAAAATCTGAACACAATTATACTGTACAGAAATATTAAGTGACTGCCTACAAACCACCAGAAATTAGGACTTTTATACAGAAAAACCATTAACTGAAAGGAATTTTGGGGCACTCAATTATTTTGATCAACCATAGGTCAAGCAGAAAAAGTTTCAACTCTAAAACTGTTGTTTGCTTTTTAAATTATGAAAGTAATATGTATTCATTGTTGAAATTTTGGAAAAATATGGGAAAGTAAATTACCAAACACTACTTACAACCTTTCTACCAAGAGACAGTTATTTTGATACCTTCTAGTCTGTGTGTGTGCAAGGATGTGGATTTTCAAATAGCCTTAGCTTTCTACTAGGCCAGTGGTCGGCAAACTGTGGCTCACGAGCCACATGCGGCTCTTTGGCCCCTTGAGTGTGGCTCTTCCACAAAATACCGACTTCTGCGCATGGGCCACGGAGTTTCAATCGCAGTGTACGTGCACGCCCGCACGTGCACGCCCGCACGTGCACGAGCCGCATGTGGCTCGCGAGCTACAGTTTGCCGTCCACTGTCTAGGCATCTGTTTTATGTGAACATTTCTTACCACTTGTAGTACAAACAACTAAACATAGCTGCTACTATGTGCTAGGTTCATACTAAGTGTGTTGTAGACATAAACTCACTTAAGCTTCACCAGCACTCCTCTGAGGTAGGACTACCCTCATTCCTATTTTACAAAGGAGGAAACTGAGGCACAAAAGTTAATTTGTCTAACATCGATTGGGCATTTATGCTGTGTCAAGCACTCTGCAAAACATGCCAAATGAATTCTTTCATTAACTCTATAACCACCATTATTTCTCCCTTTTATATATATAAGGAAACTGAGGCACAGAGAGATTAAACAACTCTCCCAAATCACACAGCTTGTAAGTAGAGGGGGGGAAAGAATTCAAACCCAAGAAGTGTGATCATAAAGCCCATTCAGTTAGCCACTCTGTTTTACTTCTTCCAATATAATGAAAAATTCCTCAAGTGCATAATTTTAATGGGTTTGTATTCTATCATATGTCCATGATTTACTTAACCACTGTTGGACATCTATGTAGATTACATTCTAAAGCACTTTGGGAAAATTATTGTTCACAAACACTAAGCATGTGTCAGATTATTACTTAGAATGAATCCTTAGAAAAGGAATGAGTAGCAGAGCAGGGGCATTATGTTATTCCCATTGTCAAATCTGACCTTAGATTAGCCACTCCCCTTTATCTTCCCTCAGGTGGTGCGGAGGACCGCTGGCCTTGCTGAACCTTTCCCATCTCTGGTTATTACAATCTTTTCTTTTTTATTATTAAGTAAGTGAAAATAACTTCTCATTGGTGTTAATTTGCATTTCTTTGATCATTAGTAAGGCTCATTTTTTGTCATGTGTCTACATGTAATTTGTAGTTTCAAAAAATTTCTACAACACAGTCCACTTTTCAGCTGATAGCACGGTAGAGTGAAGCTGACAGGGAATAGGGAGAGGCTACTAGGCCACGAGTTCTGTGCAACCACAGCACATAAAGGCCCAGGAATGGTGCAGCTGAGGGGAGTGGGCTGGAGTAGGTCTATTCCCAGCATATAAGCAGAAGGCTGCTGTTCTGCAGGAGCCTAAATGGTAAATGACTAGTAAAAATCTATTATTATTATTATTATTATTATTATTATTATTTTGTAATTACTTCTTTGCCTTAAAAAGTGAGGGAGTTCTTCAAATCCTATCTCCATTACCACCCCCAATAATCTGTTAAGCATCCACTTAAAGCAAGGCTGAATTATGGGTTGAAAAAGTAGAAAATATTTAAAATCAACTTGAAAGAAAGCATTTGCCACTGAGCAACCTAAATGCTTCTGCATTTACTGGCATACACAGTGCAAGCTGTCTTAACAGTGGGCCTGGCTAAAGGTCAATTTCTTTATTGCTTTTGTTGTCATCAAAATCAGGTTTTGAACATTTAGGTTTTTGGGTACTTAGCAGATCACTTCATGGGTCGGGTTCTATAAGGATTAGTCATTGTATCGCAGCAGGGAGAGGGGCTTGCACATTTCTCCCCCCACACACACCCCTCCCCACTCAGATGAGCCAGCAATCACAGTCCAAAGCTCTGGAAGCCACGGTCCCTTCCCTTAAGAAATCCTCTGTGACTCTCACCCATAGCCTGAGAAACACTGTAGAAGATGAACTATTTAAAAGTCCTCAACACCTACTGGCTATAGGGTCTTAGACTCCATGCAAGTCCAAAGGCAAGACAAAAACTAGAACTTAGTAAGTTCAATTGTCACAGATCCAAACAAGAGAGAGTGAAATAAATCATTAGGGAGTATGTGGTTGACGCCCTCCATCAGAGTCTCCTTTCTTGCCTCTGTCCTTCAGCTGGCGGTGAGTGGGCTCTGTACACCACACAGCTTTAATGAGCACCATTCGTGCTCCTTACGCTCTCACAAACATTTTGCTGGGTTACACGACTTTATAAAAAAAACCACATTGCGTGGCTTCTGCTCATTTTCTCAGTGGGTATTCTGGTTTCTCGGTAAACACGTGGTGGACCTAAATGCCAAGAGGTGGCTGAAATCCCAAGGTGGTACTTGTCTATCTGTGTGCCATGAGCATAATCAGAAGACAAAGAGACATAAATAGGACAAGAATATAAACAGACTGCAACTACCAGCACAAGTAATGTGGCAGTTTTCTTCCCTCCCCCAATCTGACATTGTCACCTTAACTTTGTCAAAACTACCATATACAACTCATCAAAATGGCTAAGCATCTGGATTAAACTTTTTCTATTTGCACAATGCACCGAAATCCCAATTTAAGGAAAACATAGGTTATCTGGGAAGTTTAAAATAATCTACTTAAAAAATAGTTCACATGACATAGAAAACTATAAAGCGTTT